CTTCCTTCCGCCGGGGACAGGTCTGCACGCAGACCCCGGCCAAGGCTCCCCATCCCTGCCTTGTTGGTGGAATGAGGCTTTGGGGTCATCGGGAAGAATGTTGTCCCCCGTGGTCGGCTTGTACGGTAGACGGTAGAGTGCTACTGTCGAAAAGTCGAAAACAACCCTTGACCCTGAACACTAAGTCTCTCTCTCTCTCTCTCTCTGTATATATATATATATATGTATATATATATATATATATATCTCTCTCTCTGTTTCCTTCTCTCTTGCTTGCTCGCTTGCTTGCTGGCTTGCTTGCAAAGGGCTTGGAAGGCTTGGGCAGTCCGCAAACAGATGCCTAGCGGGAAATCGCCGCGCCGCAATAACAACGGACATGTTAAAAGCCGCCTTGGCGGGAATGGAACCATCTGCGAGACCTGGTCTTCACGGCACCGCCTCTCCAAATCTGGAGAAAGGTACGCTTGGTAGGAGACAAAGCGGACTTCCAGCGAGTCCACTCGGGGTCTGCTTGGACCCAAAGGTCGACCTCATCGATGCCTTCAGCATCCCAGCGGTCGTGGTTGACAGAGTCCAAAGCCAAAGCACGAGCGACCATGCACAGTGTGTGGCCTCCATCAGCAGCAGCATCAGAGGAGGCTGTCTGCCAGGCACGCAAGCGTGACGGACAGACACGGCCCTTACACCACCAAGCGCAGCGCCCCCTGCACGCACGCAGGAAGGAGGTAACAAGCGTCCGCTCGACAGCAGGAACCAAGGGAGCTGACCACAGCAGCTTGGGCAGGACCACATACAACAGGATGGCCGAGTGAGCCTCCATATTGCCAGGGAGGCCAGAGACTGCTTGCGAGAGCTACACAAGAAATCGGCCGAAGTGCGGCCGGTAGGCAGACTGGGCACCCCGTGCTGGACCGTGAGACCGACGTGTTCAACAGGGTCGTTTCTGCTCCAGGTTTTGACGCTTACCAAGATGCACTTTGAAGTTCAAAAGTCAAACGTTGCCCGCGCATCAACCCGAAAGTCTCCAAGCAAAATCAAACAATTAACATCTGCTTGATCTTAGTCAACAAGACTCTCCCGGAGCCGCTCTGATTTCTTCCCCTCGCAGAAGCGCGATGCCCCACTTGTGCGCACGCGACTCCGTCCTCGGCGTCGATGCGGCGCTCGCTCATCATGGGAGGGCCTCGAGTGCTTGGAGGCTTGGAGTCTGTAGCTTTAAGGAGCTCCACGCGCTCATAGATCTCCACACGAAAAACTCTCGCAATCCTCCCAAGTGTGATGGGCAAGGTGCCCCGTTGCCTGAAAGGTTTCTGGGGCACAAGAAGTCGGATGCTTAGAGCAAGGTGGCTGCGGGGATCCAAGCAGGAAGCGCAGGCAACTGCGTTGGCATCGACGATGCTCCTATCCTCCATGAACAGAAGCAGGACGGGTGGACGGGAAGGAGCCTTTGGGCCTTTCGGCACGCCTACTACAGGAGGCAAGACCAAAAGAAACAGCGGCCCCACAAGCCGCTTCGGCACGCCGGTGCCACGAAGAGAAACCCTCAACAAGATACTGCCCAGGGCCAAGCGGTCTCAGACGCTTGCCTGGGTTTGGGCTGGGGCGGGCTGGGCTGGGTTTGGGGGGGCTGCTTTGGGCTTGCTGGGCCGAAACTGAAATTATTGGTTTATTAGAAATTCAAAGGCTGTGTCTCGACCGAAAAAATTAGAAATTGTTAAGGGTTTGGGTGCCAGTTTCGTTTTGACCGAAAGTTTTCGGTGTTGAACGAAAGTTGTTTGTGGAACCAGGTTTTGAATTTGGTCTGGGCTGCTGGGCTGGGTGGGGCTAATTGGTTCTGGGCTGGGCTGGCTGGGTTTGGGCTGGGCTGGCTGGGTTTGGGCTGGGGCAGGCTGGGTTGGATAAAATTGAAGGTTTCCTTCCCAATCGCGGGGCTGGAGAGCTGAGGCCTGGCTTGGGCTGGGCTGGGCGGCTGGAGGTGGCTGGCTAGGCTGGCTGGGTTTGGGTTGAAAAAATCAAAATGCAGGGCTGGCTGGGCTGGTGGGTTGGGGCTGCTGGGCTGGGCTGGGAGTACCAAGTCAGGAAGCATTCTTGAGCTTGGCACGTCTGACACAGGACCTGCGCCGGGACCTGGCCTTGACGGCGTCGGCAGCATCACGCCCATGGGTCTTCAAGGTCCACTGGTAAACAAAGATGCCGGCGGGTCGCTTTGCAAGGGAAGATTCTAAACACAGAAAGCGTCGCCACGCGACCACACTTGCCACACGTGTAGGCAGTGGACATGCGGGGATATTTAGCATTGACGCTGGAAATAATCGAAAGAGTGTCCTCAAGAGGGACGCAAGCAGCATCCTTCCACTTTTGCTTCTGAGCTTGGAGACAAAACGGCCGTAAGTCTTCAGGGCTGAAGCGGCTTTGGCCCGACGGGCCTCAGGGCCGAGCATGGCAGACAAGGTGACACATCGCCGCACGGGGCCTAATGCCTTGGCAAGTGCGCCAGTGTTGCACGGCAGCATTCGTAGAGACACTGCTGGACTTTGCAAGCCTCCCTCATACTTCCAAGCTGCCGGGCCGTCTTGTAAGTAAAGCGGCATGGCGAACAGGGGATGTCCGGCAGGAGGGCTCAGTGATATGACAGGATTGTAAAGACAAGATTATATAGACAAGACTATACATAGATAGATGTGGGTCTTCAGGCAAACCGTTGTTCAAAGGTGGGAGGCTTTGTATTATTCCAACCCATTGGCAATGTTTGAGCCAAAATGGCTATACTCTCTCTCGCTCTTTCTTCCTGCCGGGCTTCAGGGGTCGTCTAGCCACTTTCTTTCGTCAGGGCTATGGTGTAGGGGCTTGACCCCCTACACCGCGCGCTGGTGCGCCCCCGACTGTTGCGGGTGCCCGTGTGTTGCACTCACTCACACACGGCAAACTGCATTCGCCTCACACAAATTACAGCAGTAGAAGATGGCTAACGACCGAAACGGTTACCGGAAATAAGGCTGTATTGTGGGTCGTCTAGCCACTCTTTCTCTCTCTCGCGCATGATGGACAGGTCAGGTCCCCCGGGCTCCAAGCCCACCCGAAGTTTCTTCGCAACGGCCAAAGCCATAAAAACTACAATAGCGTGTTCCCCGCAGTTTTCTGTTCAGAACATCGGCTTCAACACCTACAGGAAGATGATTCCAACGACAAAATCAACACATAATGTTGTTATTCAGCTACATCACACTGAGAGTTGATTTGCCATTGCAGAAACATAGCTCACCTGATGAGGGTGTCAGCAACTTAACATAAGTCTCACAAAGATGGAAGATATACACTTCTTTTGTATCGTGATGTGACACAGATCTAGATAGGCCATGTAAAGCCTTCAGAGAAAATAGAATCACCCACGGTCTCTCTCTCTCTCTCTCTCCCTCTCTCTCCTTTCGCTCTCGAACAGCCAAAGGCTCCCATGAATGCTGAGCCCATGCCGCCAGCCATCAGCATTGTGGCATGTCTGATGGCCTTCTTCGTGTCTTCAGCCGGTTTTTCTGGCTTCCTCGTTTGGCTTTCAACACTGTCGAAGCATGTTCCAACGTCTCTGTTTGAAGTGCTCGAGGCATTTGCCACGATAGGTCTCTTCTCTTCCAAGCAGCTTCGCCGTGAAAATGACCTTTTGCTGCATCGACACGTCCGAATCATTGCTGTCGCTGAAAGGCCTGACCCAGGGTTCGGGCCCAACCTTTCCCTGAAGGAAGCCTGACCTCATGTGCAAAGCAGAGCCAGTGCGCCTCGACCACAGGACACTACCTCAAGCAAGTTGACATAGCAAAGGATGCAAGTCGACATCAGATGCCATCCTTGCGGCCGAAGCACCCAGCTTTTTCGTTTGCCGGCCGCAGAGGCACAGGGAATCCCGAGCTGCCTGGATGACTCTTGATTCACTTGAGGCAGACTTGACTGTCACAGGGATGTGGGACTGGGGCGCAGGGATGAGCCATCAGTGCAGCAAGATACGCTTTGCAGCCGCAGCATGGCACCACGTTGGGCAGCGAGCTTGGACCAGAAATAGCTACATGAGCAGTCTGCGGCTGGTGTAGTTAGTCGGGTCATGCGGATACAAGTAACTTGATGCTTATCGGGACTTTGATAGGTAAACCCTGCGGCGGAGAACACCCAGTCGCTGACCGGCGGCATGCCTTCGCGCATCCTGGCACAATGAAAAGACTTGGGGCCAATCACGGAAGCCGTCGTTTACTTATCTGTTTCTGTGCTCCCTCGCCGCTTGCTCAGCAAGTGATGCAACGCTCGTCTCGTGTGCCTGGGAAAGTAAAGGGGCCGTGACAAAGGCCTCCTGCCGAATGCACAATATCAGATTCCCGCGCGAAGAACCATACCGCTTCAGTGAAGGCCGAGCAAACTGGGCCTGCGCAGGCCACGCGGACACAGCGCCTGTGATCGCAGAGCTCCTCACACAAAGTTTTGGCAGGCTCAAGGAGTGTGAGCAGAAACTTGAGAGTTGGCACACCCAGCCATTAAAACGATGGAGCCCGTTGCTGCATTCTACAGCGGAAGCCCTTGCTTATAACACTGCTCCTGGCTGTCTCCATGATCCTCAGGGCTAGGATGCTCGGCCACTCTGCCCGATCGAGTCGTGGGATCGAAGCTGCGGCTTGAGGGCGGAAGGTAGCGGGACAAGAACCCCCCTCCAGTGCGGATTGGGCACAGCTCCTTCTGGTCTCTAACCCCGGTGCAGTCCAGACTTTTGCGGCAGTGCTTCTGCACTCGCTCAATCAATCTGTACATAATCAATGCATGCCCAACACCACGCGAAGCTGCAGAAGGCATCGAGTAAAGAAAGAGGTCACTGACCATTCACAGACAAACAATTATCTTCGGCAGTCACTGGCATCTTCATAGTCATAGTAACAAGCAAGCCTCAACAGCCACTCTAGCCTCTGTCTTCCAGATTTTTTGGGACATAAAGCACCATGCGTGTAGCCATCTTGGCCACGCCGGTAGGCACTGCAGGCAGCAGCCGCACATACACAGAGGTCACAGCCGGACTAGCTGTTCCAGATCCTCAGCCACGCACCGAGCCTCGAGGATCCTCGCCGACAGCTGAAGTCTGCACCGTGTTCGTCTGCTGTTGAACTTGAAGATGTTGTAGCTCTGATGGAGCTTCCATGGAGCTTCGCAGGCTCCAAAACTTTTGCTCTTCGGCTCTAACTTGCCAGCGCAGCCGCCAGCGAACGATAAACTGCGAGGGCATGCCGAAGTTCCAAGGACTCCGGGAAGCAGTCGGGAGGAGGCTCGCCTTACAACGATATGCGAGGCATGATGAGATACTCTCCGAATCCCGCAGGTCATTACGGCCTGGGCTGAGCGCCGCACCCGCAGCGAACTCCAAGAACTCCTTCAACGAGGAGCCTGTCACTCCACGGGAAAGGGACAAGTCAACCGAAAAGATGTCTTTGGAGAGCTCGAGCTACGGAATCTCTCGGATTGCAGTGCACTTCCCACCTGCTGGCCAGCGGTCGACAATAAGCCTTGGCAGAGAAGTACATGGGATTTCTCTCTCGCAGCGCGAGGACCCAGTTTCTCCCAGGTGCTGCTCGGCAAGGAGGTCATGCAACACCTTGCAGAAGACAAGAAGGGCGGGGCTCTGCTGCTCTGCTGCTGTGCTCCCTCCCTGCTTCTCCCGGAGCGCACCGGCCGCCACTCCGCCAACTCCGTCGCAGATGCGGCCAAGGCGGAGGCTGCTGCTGGCTCCAGAGGCTCCTGGCGGAGTGTGGTTTCATGGTGACACAGCAGATTTCGGAAGAACACCCTCAGTTGCACCGCGAGACAAGAAAATAGCATGCTTTTGCGGTCGCCTAACTCCCTCTAGGTGCAGTTGAAAGCTTGGAGCACTCGGTCCGGAATAGCCCGATGTGGCTTGAGCATGTAGCCGGATCTCAGCTAGCTGATGGTGGATGCGAGTTCCTCCCTGCATGCGCAGCCATTGCCAAACAGCCCAACTTGTCTCGGCTGCTGCTTGGTTGAACGCACCGTTCAGGATTTTGGGCACATCACCTAATGCGGGCTCGGGAGTTGCTGTGGTGGAATAATATTGCTGCAACAGGGGCCGCCAATTGGGCTCATGCGTTTTGAAGGCATGAAGCGAGAACGTCCTGCTCCTGTCTCCCGGCGGTGTGCTGCTTGCTTCGTTTCATCACCCTGTGCCCACGTGCTCTTGGCTCTGTCTGACCCCACAACAAATCGGAAGCAACCACGTGCCAGGAGGTTTTCGCGCTCAAGCGCCCGCGTGCCCATGCAGGTGCGTGCAAAGGCGACCCTTCCGCATGTCACAGAATACTTCAGCCGTCTTCGTTTGGCAGCAGAACTGACGTATTCCCTGCTGCCCCCTGCTTTTTACGATTACATAGTCCCTTTGTTGACCGGTCTTTCATACACACTCACACACACACACTCAAACAGCTAGCTGGCTGTTTGGCTAGCTAGCTAGCCAGCCAGCTAGCTAGATAGGTAGGTAGCTAGATAAATAGGTAGCTAGATAGATAAGTAGATAGGTAGATAGGTAGATAGGCGGCTAGCTAGATAGATAGGTAGATAGGTAGATAGGTAGATAAGTAGATAGGTAGATAGGCAGATAGGTAGATAGGTAGATACGTAGATAGATAGATAGATAGATAGATAGATAGATAAATAGATAGATAGATAGATAGATAGATAGATAGACTGATAGATAGATAGATAGATAGATAGATAGATAGGTAGATAGATAGATAGATAGATAGGTAGATAGATAGACGGAGAGACAGATAGACAGATGGAGAGATAGATAGACAGATAGACAGATAGATGGGTAGATAGATAGATAGATAGATAGATAGATAGATAGATATAGATAGATAGTTAGAT